GGGCTCAGGCAGAAGAACCTCTTGAACACAGGAGGCGGAGGTTGCAGTGAGTCGAAATTGCACCACTGCACTCCAGCCTGGGCGTCAGAACAGACTGTCTCAAAAACAAAAAACAAAAAAACAAAAACCATTCATGTGCCAATGATTCACAAATCTATAACTCTTAGCTAGACTTTGCAATCCAACTCCAAACTCCATCCATCCAGCTGCCTAGTCAGTATCTCCATTTGAATGTCTAATGGCAATCAAACCTCAAGATCAAAAAACGAATTCTTGATAGTCCCCCTAAAGCTCCTCCAGCTGCAGCCTTCCTCGTCTCAGTTGATGGCAATTCCATCCTTGCAGCTGGGCAGCCCTGAAACCTCCAGGTCTCCCCTGGCTCCTCGCTTTCTCTCACATCCCACATCCGATCCATCGGCAAATCCCATTGCCTCCACCTTCAATCAGGACCCTGGAAGGGATCCCTTCTCACCACTTCCAGCACTACCACCTTCATCTGTACCACTGTCATCTTTGATCTGGATTCTGCAGTGGCCTCCACACAGGCCTCCCTGCTTCCATCCTTACCCCTCCTAAGTCCCATCTCAATTCAACACCTAAAGAGAAACCAACTTTCAAAGCTCAAGTCAAGTCATACGCACCCTCTTCAAAACCCTGCAATGGCTCATCACACACAGAGCAAACACAAACATTTTTATGCCTCCAAGTTCCATCTAAAGGCGGAGCTGACATCCCTGCCCTCACCTTGTATTTCTCTCCCTGCTGCTCACCCTGCTGTGGACTCTTGGCTACTCCTTGTGGGCGCTAGACATGCTCCTGCCTCAGGGCCTTTGCACTGGCTATTCCCTCTGCCTAAAACACTCACTCTTTACCAGAGATCTGCACGACTGACTCAAATGCAAGGCCATCTCAAGGAGCCCCTCCCTACCTACTCTATTTAAAATGGCAATTTCTTCCTTTAACACTGTACCATCTCTTCTCCCCTGAACATTTTCTTTTTTTTAATCACTAACCACCTTCTAACACAATATAAAATTCATTTATTCTGATGATGTTCATCAACTATCTCACCTTGCTATAATATTGGTTATAGAAGGCCAGAGATCTTGGCCTGTTTTAGTACTGATATAACCCAAGTACATGGAATACAATACTCAAATATAATAAATAAAATATAAGACTGGGAAAGAAATGTCCCTTCAAACCTCTCCATCCAGGCAAGCCAGCTGTCCTCCAATTTACTGAAACCAGTGACTATTAACACCATGCTTCTGGTGAAATCTAACTCAGTTGAGATTCCTAGAAGGCACTCAATCCTCATTTCAATTTATTTTTTATTTTATTATTTTTTTGAGACAGAGTCTTGCTCTGTCACCCAGGCTGGAGTGCAGTGGTGCAATCTCAGCTCACTGCAACCTCTACCTGCTGGGTTCATGTGATTCTCCTGCCTCAGTTTCCCAAGTAGCTGGGATCACAGGCATGCGCCACCACTCCCAGCTAATTTTTGTATTTTTAGTAGAGACGGGGTTTCGCCATGTTGGCCAGGCTGGTCACAAACTCCTGGCCTCAAGTGATCCGCCTACCTTGGCCTCCCAAAGTGCTGGGATTACAGGTATGAGCCACTGTGCCCGGCCTCAATCCTTCTTTCAAAAGATACTTTTGCATCACCATAAAAGTGACAAAGGCTGAACTTAGAAACTCGAAAGACACAGAAGAGGGTCTCCTGTCAAGGAAGAAGTAAGATTTTAATTTATGCTCATTTAGGATCAAGAAATATTGCTGTCATTCCACACATCTGCCTACTGTTTCTGGCTTTATTTCAAGTTGTCACTGTAGTCAACAAACATTTGAGAAAGTAAACTCTGAACCAGCCTGGCCTTCTATCGAAATGAGCCAGGAAATGATTCCAGCTGAGCATAATGAATCACCCAAGTACAGTGGCAGGTGTGGTAGAGAAAAGGGTCCATTAGAGGGAAGTTGGGTACTCAGTCCATTGCTATAAAGTCTGGACCTTAGACTACATTTTTGTTCTTCAGAGAAATAGTCATCATAATTTACACCTCAGTGTAGTTACCTTATTTAACACTAAACCCGCTGGGCAGATCTTTACTCTTGCTCAGTTGGTTAAAGAAGGGGTCATAAATGGCAGAAAGACAGCTACTATTATGAATGAAAAACAAGTAACCTTTCCTCTCTAACTATTAGCACTTAACAGGCTAAAAGTGGCCGTCACGGCTCTTAAGCAGTCCTCTGCAGGGGACCAAGGGGTCTTCCAATGAGCTCTTTAAGATACTGGGTGTGCGTGAGCAGGGTCTTCCACCAAGGCTAACCCACTTTGGGCATCTCTGTGCAGTGAGTTCCATAGAAGACCCCATCGTTATCTCAAGGCATACTGAGTACCGAGATCTAGAAAACCAACAGGGTCCGATGCTGTGGCTCACACCCATAATTCCAGCACTTTGAGAGGCTGAGGTGGGCTAATCACTTGAGGCCGGGAGTTCAAGACCAGCCTGGCCAACATGGTGAAACCCCATCTCTTCGAAAAATACAAAAATTAGCTGGGCATGATGGCACACATCTTTAATCCCAGCTACTTGGGAGGCCGGGACAGGAGAATCGCTTGAACTGGGAAGCGGAGATTATAGTGAGCTGAGATCGCACCACTGTACTCCAGCCTGGGCAACAGAGCGAGGCTCTGTCTCATTAAAAAATAAATAAATAAATAAATAAATAAATAAATAAAAATAAAAATTGGAAAACTAACTAAAAAAAGTTTGTTCATCACTAAAAGACAAGGGTCAAGAGGGGAATGAGGGAGACACATATACTGATGAAAATATTGGGAAAACGGGCCTTCCTATGATCATATGGTACAAATGCCTAAGGTTACAATAGAAATAACAGAGGAATGTGCTTCTTATCTAGAGAAATATCTGAGCTTAAAAAGTAATTAAACACATAGTGCTTTAGGCAGATTTAATATATACTAGAATATATAATATATATTAGAATTTTCACTCTTTAAAGATGACCAAAAAAAGAGTCTTCATTGTGCAAGCAAAACAACATCAAGTTATACAGAGGAATAGACTCAGTGTGGCCGTGCTTTTTGCTTCTGCAATACTAAAGCCAGAAGACAATGGGTCAACATCTGCAGAAGGTTTGAAGAGAAAAAAATGTCATGACTAGAAAATGTCTGCCCAGCCAAGTTCTTGCTTGTGTATTAGAGTAACAGATTGACACCATGAACTCTGCAAGGACTCAGAAAATGTACCACCCAAGGATGTTCCCTGGGGAAGATTATTGCTCAAGCTTGAGTTCCCAAACAACAAAAGGTGAATCGGCATGTTTAAGATCTCGAGATCAAGGAAATCATGGCTGAGGAGGCAGCAGAAGTATCACTGATGCCAACAATGGCTCCCATTTTTCAAGTGCTCATATGTCCCAAGCACTGTACTGAAAGTTGTGTGTACATTTAGCATCTCATTTAATTCTCAGAATAAGCCACTTGTGGCATTATCCCCATTTCTTAGATGAGAACACCAAGGTTCAGGGAGTTCAAGCAATTTGTCAAGATAACCTCGTTAGGAAGTGAGAGAGTTGGAATTTCAAAATGCATCTCAAATTGCTCAGGTTCCCTCAATTTATTTATTTTTAAAAATATCTATCATTTCCTATGCTTAATCATGTTTTCTAGTTGCTCTAAAAGAAGCATTCATTATTTCTGAAATAAGGCATTAATATGTCCTTTGTTTCCAATTAAAATACATCTAAAGACATAAAACAGGCCAGCGTGGTAGCTCACGCCTGTAGTCCCAGCACTTTGCAGGGCCGAGGCAGGTGGATGACCTGAGGTCAGGAGTTCAAGACCAGCCTGGCCAGCATGGTGAAGCCCCATCTCTACTAAAAATACAAAAAATTAGCCGGGCATGGTGGTGTACACCTGTAATCCCAGCTACTCGAGAGGCTGGGGCAGGAGAATCGCTTGAACCCAAGAGGCAGAGGTTGCAGTGAGCCAAGATTGCTCCACTGCACTCCAGCCTGGGGGACAGAGCAAGACTCTGTCTTTAAAAAAAAAAAAAAAAAAGACATAAAAGAAATTACTCTAAAATGCTAAATAGGAAAGGATTGGTAAGAACATTGCAGAAAGATGCCTACATAAAGAAGGCAGGTAAGGCAATTATCACTGCCAAATTATACGGAACTCAATAGAGTTCACCCTTGAACAATGAAGACGTCAGGAACACTGATTCCTGTGCAGCAGAAAATCTGCATAGAGTTTTTGGCTTCCCCAGAACTTAACTATGAATAACCTGCTGTTGACCAGAAGTCTTACCAATAACATTGTCAATTAATACATATTTTGTATGTTATATGTATTATCAACTGTACTCTTACAATATAGCAATCTCAAGAAAAAAATGTTATTAAGGAATTCATAAGAAAGATAACATATATTTACTATTCATTAAGTGGAAGGGAGTCATCATAAAGGTCTCATCCTCCTCATCTTCACACTGAGTCGGCTGAGGAAGAGGAGAAAGAGGAGAGGTTGGTGTTCCTCTCTCAGGGGGGCAGAGGTGGAAGAAAATCTGAGTGTAAGTGAACTCACGTAGTTCAGATCTGTGTTGTTCAAAGGTCAACTATATTTTCAAATAGCATTAAGCAGAACCAGAGATATCCAGTATTTATAAAAGACACCCTCCACAGCAATCATGTAACAGTTATGAATTTATGCTCCAAATAACCTGGTAACTCATATGTCAAAAAAAGGAAGTAAAAGTTGTTTAAATGAACTGGAATGGGAAGTTTTCACATATGATGATCAAGCTCTGATGATCAAAAAATAAAGTCAAGAAGGATTTGTACTGCCACCTTCACTCCCCTCCAAGAAGGACCCACGTCACAACTGCCCATTCCCCTTTTCCAGCCAGACAATTGTGCTGACAAATGACTTTACCTTCAGGCAGTGGCTGGCGCGCTCACGGACAAGACCTCACCTGGAACGTTGTGTATAGTGATGGCCAAGATGAGCAGCGCGATCCTCCTCCAGCTGCTGCCACTGGGCTGTGCCAGGTTCCCTCGAGAAGGCACGGGGACAGCAGGACCCTCTGGAAGGCCAGTGGCTGCCGCTTTCTTTCTCTGATACGCCTCACCATTTTCACTCTTGTCTGAGCAAAAAAAAAAAAAGAGAAAGAGAGATGGGGAGAGCGCTTTGAACATGGGCACATTAACTCTCCAGCAAGCTACAGCAGGAAGAAGCTTCTACCCCCGAACTTCCTGTAGACTATGCAAGGTTCTGTGTGTTCTCTCATTCACTCAGGCATCCATTCATTCAGCGAACAATTCGTTGACTAGGCCGAGTATGGTGGCTCACTCCTGAAATCCCAACACTTTAGGAGGCTGAGGCAGGCAGATGGCTTGAGCCCAGGAGTTCGAGACCAGCCTGGGCAACATGGCGTGATCCCATCTCTACAAAAAATAAAAATAAAGAATTAGCTGGGCATGGTGGTATGCACCTGTAGTCCCAGCTACTTGGGAGGCTGAGATGGGAGGATGGCTTGAGCCCCGAAAGTTGAAGCTGCAGCGAGTTGTGATCGCACCATTGCACCCCAGCCTGGGTGACAGAGTAAGACCCTGTTTCAAAAAAGAAAAAGAAAAAGAAAAAAAAAAATCACTGAATAGGCATTCAGCGCCCAATGCATAGGTACCAAGAAGGATAAAAAAGATGAAGATGTGGTATCCTAGCAATGCCTGTTTAAGACAAGCAATGTTGAGTCACGATTAGAAACACAGATTCCAGAACCATGCTGCCTGCTTCCCTTCCTGACTCAGCCACTGGTCAGCTGTGTAGCGCCAAACAAGTTATTTCACCTCCCTGTGCTGTGGCTTCCTGATTCGTAAAACTAGAATAATAGGATTACCTATGTCATAAGGGTTTTGTGAGGATTAAATGTAACAATGTCTGAAAGTGCTTAGAATGTACTAAGTACTGATTGTATCGATGGTTATTGTTACTATCATGTTCCCTCTCCCATGGCCCTGCAGAATTACATAATATGTGACCCTGCTCTCCTGGTCATACTGATTTATAGGAACCAATTCAGATGCCTGGTTCAGCCAATCAGAATCCCTCCCCAGGGAGACTTGGCGACTCCAACGTGCAAGCTGGATCTGAAAAATCACATGATGTGCGCGCAGCTCTGCCACAGCGGAATGAGGGAAGCGGCTGGAGAGACAATCAGAAAGAATCAGATATACATCAACAAGCAGAGATGGGAAACCAGGCAGCCCGAGGGAAGGAGAGAGAAGGGCAGAACTGCAGCCCACGTGCCATAGACATTCATAGGCCACCCATAGCACCCAGCCCTTGGGTTTCCTGAGCAAACCCTCCTTTTAAAAATGCCTTTACAAATTGGCTTATATTGGAAGAATGTCATTCTTACAACCAGCTTGTCCTAAATATCCATGGTCCCCTGGGCTATTTGTTTATTCATAATAGAGGCAAATTGCGTGGATCTGAAATTGCGAGGACAAGAGTGGGAGAGAGCATCCAGCCTTCAGTTCACAGCATGGGATGGATTTGTGGGGAAGACTTTCTAGAGGAAATGGGTCTTGAGTGAATCTTAAACATGCGATGGCACAGAGAGAAAGAAGGGTCCCTCTATTGGGAGAGAAAATAACCCAGCAAACATAACTCACACGTCTGTTAAATTAAATAAGCAGGAGACTATTGGTCTGAGGCTGTACTTTGAGTTGCTTCATAGTGAACTACAACCTAACTTAGTATGTATACAAATGAAAATCTCATTAGGAGGATATATTTTTTGTAATAGGATAGCTAGATCTCAGCCAATCACAAGCAGCCGAGCTTCAACCAATCACAGGTAGCCAAACTTCAGCCAACCACAGGCAGCCAACTGATTAGACTATGTCCAAATAAGGTAAATGCCTAACTGTAACCAATTAAGCTATTTCTATACTTTATTTCCTGCTCGAACTTCAAAAAAGGCAGAGCTCTCTGAATGTCTTCTAGTTTTGAATGCTGCCTAATTCATGAAGCCTTTAATGCTTAAATAAATTTAAAAAACATTAAAAGAAAAAACTTATTTTGAAAATCATTTTGTGGCCGGGCGCAGTGGCTCACACCTGTAATCCCAGCACTTTGGGAGGCCGAGGCGGGCAGATCACAAGGTCAGGAGATCGAGGCCATCCTGGCTAACACAGCGAAACCCCGTCTCTACTAAAAATACAAAAAATTAGCCGGGCGTGGTGGTGGGTGCCTGTAGTCCCAGCTACTCCGACAGCTGAGTAGTGTGAACCTGGCAGGCGGAGCTTGCAGCGAGCCGAGATCGGGCCACTGGACTCCAGCCTGGGCAACAGAGCAAGACTCCGTCTCAAAAAAAAAAAAAAAAAAAAAAAAAGAAAAAAGAAAAGAAAAAAAGAAAATCATTTTGTATTTATTTACTCAAATCATACAAGTACAGATTGGAAAGTAAGAAAGTACAAGGCAAGTAGACGCACTCCTCCCCAGCTCCCAATCATTTCTCTCTTATTAACAGCTGGATCTCAGTTCCATTAGGAAAAGGGAGGGTCTTTGATCCTCCACAATGAAAGGATGCCAGTCCTCCATTGGTCAGTAGCCCTGACTCACAACACCAGCCTGTGGAGAATTCAGCTGTCTCAATTGGACAGCAACTCCTCCCAGACAGTGTTTACACGAGGCGAAGCTCCACACTCATTGTGTGGTATCCACATGTGTATGCATGTATGTGTGTGTGTGCATGTGTGTATGTGTATGTGCGTGTGGGTGCATACAACTGCTACTCAGTGACATCCTGAGATATTAGATCTCCTTTGTGTATGTATGCATTTATCTAGTAAGACGTTCTCAGTCTGAGGTTCTTGAATCCATAAAGACCCAACAATTATTTCAAAAGTGTGTATTTTTTGCTGGATTGTAACTTTCGCTGTACTTTCAAAGGCGGTTGCTGATCCCAAATGGTGCACACAAGCGGGGAGGGGTGTTCATACATTTCGAGTAGACAATATGTAGATGACTCAGGCTGCACATGCTGGTCGAGAAATTGAACTAAACATCTGGGATTTCAAGCTCACAGACACTAAAGACATGAGCAAAGCAGTCCCTGAGAGCTGTCCATGAACTAACCTGGGTCATGGTGGAGGGTCCTCAGCTTTCTCCTAGGTCAGTCAGCAAAGATTCCTGATTTCCTGTGTCTGGTCTGAACACACAGGCCTGCGCTAGATGCTCTCCAGTGAGAGTTGATAGAGGCCAAAAGAAAAATCTCTTCTCTTGGAGACTTTTGATTGATTGATTGACTGATTGAGCAGGGTCTCACTCTGTTGCCCAGGCTGGAGTGCAGTGGTACAATCTCAGCTTACTTCAGCCTCCACCTCCCAGGCTCAAGCAATCCTCCCACCTTGGCCTCCTGAGTAGCTAGAACTACAGGTGCACGCCACCATGCCCAGCTAACCTCTGTATTTTTTATTTTTTTTTTTTTTGAGACAGAGTCTGGCTCTGTCACCCACGCTGGAGCACAGTGGTGCGATCTCGGCTCACTGCAAGCTCCGCCTCCCAGGTTCCGCCATTCTCCTGCCTCAGCCTCCCAAGTAGCTGGGACTACAGGTGCCCGCCACCCCGCCCGGATAATTTTTTGCATTTTTAGTAGAGACGGGATTTCATCATGGTCTCGATCTCCTGACCTCGTGATTCACCCGTGTCAGCCTCCCAAAGTGCTGGGATTACAGGCATGAGCCACCGCGCCCAGCCTTCTGTATTTTTTTTTTTTTCAGTAGAGATGGGGTTTTGCCCCATTGACCATTCTGGTCTCAAATTCCTGGACTCAAGCAATCCACCTGCCTTGGCTTCCGAAAGTGCTAGGATTACAGGCATGAGCCACTGCACCTGGCCCCTTGGGGATTTTATAATTTAAGAGAGGGTAGACAGGGAAGACACACATAAATTCCCTCCAATCTAAGGGGCAAAACACACACTGTAACAATCACCAACGGTTGCACTTGTTTTTGTCAATGTCACAAAAGGATCCTACTCTCAATCTCCTCCAGATGCTACACAGAGAACAACAGACCTCAAAGGCACCACGAGCAAATTCTAGCGCTATGCTTGTGTTTCATAGGAACATCAAGGAGCATAAAGAGTTCTTCCTCAAAATTAAAACGCACGCCTGGCCCCGGGCTTCCAGTGTGTGAAAACTGACGTCAATGCCTTCCCTAGTAGGAAACAGGAGGGTGTAAATGCCTCACGTCCTTGTGAAAGTTAAATAAGCCACCATTTGGTGACAGCCACTAATGAGTCTGCAACAAGGAAGATTAGTCCAAATAAATCATTACAGAGTATGATGCATCATGAGCAATGAATTTTCTTGCCTCTCCTGGTAAGGCTAGTTCAACCATCACACCCATCAAGTAAAATGCTAGCGCGTGGGAAAAGGATGATCCGTTAGCGGAGGCAATTGCCAAGCACACTGTGGGATGTGAGGGTGTGCCAGAGTGACAAGAACCTCGTGAGGTTTCTTGAAATGGGAAAGGTTTGGGCACTTTTGAAGTGGGATTTGGGAAGGAGGAATAGAAGGGGGACTATTTCATTTAGGGATGAAATAGCCAATGTCAAACGCAGAAGCAAAACAACATCAGAGACACTGGTTCACAGGTAATATTGGGAACTTATCTTCAATGAGTCCTCAATCCTTACAAAAGCCCCATGAAATAGAGATTAATCCCCTTTAACGAATGAGTAAATTGAAGAACAGAGAGGCAGAGTAACTGGTCCCAGGTCACACAGCCAGTCTGCAGTGGACTCAGGAGTTGACTCAGCATCTTGGCCTCCAGAAGCCCCTCTTTTAACTAGGGCCTCATGGTTGACTGGGGATGAAGGGGGTGGGAGGAGCAAAGGCTGAACTGCTCATGGCTTACCAAAAAAGGTAGTGGGAGCAGTTGCTGCAGTGAGAAAGAGTCTGGTGAGCTCTCATTGCCTGTGACCAGAGTGGGGAAAGACTCAGAGGAAATCTCGTATCTATAATCATTCTTACTTGCAGACAAACCTGAAACATTTTGTAATAGTAGTATTTCTTTTTTTTTTTTTTTTTTTTTTTTTGAGATGGAGTCTTGCTCTGTCACCCAGGCTGGAGTG